ATATATATACTTTGTGGGGTCTGCCACGCCTCCTTCTGCCTGTTACATACATTTCCATTTTCAATGGGTTCAGGGTATAATAAAAACGACGACGACAAAGTATGGCAACAATGCATTACTTCTTACAGCTACTAACTTAAAGTGTATGTGTGTGTGTGTTTGCGAAAAATTAGAACCGCAAATCATTTTGAAAACAATGCATATGCCATGTCATATATGAGGCAGCCGAATGGCTAGGCACTCGCCTCTCATCCGCAAGCGGCCCCGAGTTGTACGAATTCATTTCGAAGCTGAGACTTAAGCTAGTCTAGTCTCGCTCTTTCAATTTTTATAGACTCGAACTTTAATGTCTACTAGAAAAACATTTTCAACTCGCAGTTTCAGTAATAATTAATTGAATGCGAAGTTTTAGTCGGAATATGTTGATCCTTTCGCAATTTGAATTGCATTCGGCAACATATTTGCCGATGTGGATATCCTTGCAAATTAATCAATCAGTCATTCACAGCATGAGGTGCAAACAAGGCTGTATGGCCTGTTAATGAGCTTAAGGCAGTTAGTTCTCGCCCTGTTGAATCGCAGTGCGTTCGCTTGCGTTGATTATGTGATTTATATAAGCATGCAGCTCGGCATTCTGAATCGATATCGTAGACGCTCATAATCAAGGGGAGTCTCTGCCCCAGCTGCTTGCCAGTATGTGTCACTGACTTCTGGATTCGGAGTGTTTATAATCCTCATTTACCTACAAGCTGTGCACAAGGAGGAGCTCTAGGCCCGTTCACCTCTTGCCTTGGCCACAGAGGTCGCATTATGTGTACACAAGTATGGCAAATGCACATATATATGCACATACACATGGCTATACATATACGAATATGTAAATGACGGTTCGGTAACACCGCCTCGCGCAGTCCACAGCCCACAGCCCACAGCCCAGAGCCCATAGCCCTCACTTCACGTTACCTTGTTTGCAATTTAATATTCATTTTGAAAAAGCCCATTTACATTTGCGCTTTTGTGGCACCTTTGCGTGTGCTCCACCCTATCCCCCATTCCCTGCACCCCATTTTTTTGTGCTCGCAATAGTAGGGTCGCCGAGGCTTGGACGCGCACACGGCGTATGCGTAATCTAAGCAAAGCCTCATGCTTTTGTTAAACTTAATTCAACCGCAAGGCAACCATCCACCTACAGCCAACAACCGGCTGCTAGCTGGTTGCAGCTGCAGTTCATTGTACAAGTGATAGCCTAGTCAGAGGAATATCAAGAGTGTCCAGCTGGTGGCAGTAGCTGCACGTTGTCGAAAATATGCAGCTGTTGATTTATAGACACAATGACGTCCCGAATGCCGGAATTCGAGCTTCCCCTGGCAGCTGTTGATGATTGTTACCGTTGCTGCCGCAGTTTTTGTTGTTGCTGTTGCTATGGCTGTTGCAACAAATCCCACACCCAGCCTAGTGGGCCCTCGTTTCGTTCGCTTTTAACTGACATTCGGCATCAGCTTCGCAACGAGCGCCGGTGGTGCAGTGGCTAGCATGGTTGTTCCCCAAGCAGCTGATCCGGGTTCGATTCCCGGCCGGCGCACAGCACAGTGTGTTCTTTCTATTTTATTAACTTGTCTCGTAATAAGGATCGAATTAAAATTTTCCACATTTTATTCCTTAAGTGTTGAGCGGGCAGAAGCACAATTTTTTATTTTTACACAGCCAGGCCGTCGCACGTGTTATGTACTGAAATCCCTTTACAAACCATGGGAATATGAAGACGATATGAAGATGAAACGAAAAAAGCTCATTAAAGCTCTTTTCTTTTCTAATAAGAGCTTTCACAAGACATCGAATATTGCAAGCTCCTACCAGAAATTAACAAAAGTTTCAAACATTTTATACAATTCCTGTTCTTTCTTTTAGCCAAATTGTTAGAGCTACCCTCGCTAGCTGGTAGCATTTGCACTGGCATATAACATTAACACATAATCACATTAGACTTGCTAGACGCCACTTTGCAAATGGTAGCCCTCCCTTAAAGCTCGCAACGGTTAAAAGAGCCGAAAGGTTAACAGGAAATGGTCTACGTTAGTCACTGGCATTTCAAAGGCTCGGACAATGCAGCGCCTGACGGAAGCGGCTGTAGCTCTGACCCGCTGTCGATGCCCGAGCATTCCTGGACAGCGCATGCACTATGTAGTGCATACAATGAGACCATTCAAAAAAGCTACAGCAAAACAGAAATAAAATGTAAAACATACTAAAATAAAAATTAAGTAAACGTTGAATTAGAGAGTGAATGCGAATGTATGTGAGTATGTATTTTGACTAAACTATAGAAATCATTGTTAGGTGGGTCCAAACCACGCAAGTATTAGTTCACGTGAGCTCAGTTCAGGTCAACTCAGGTCAGCTTAGAGGCTTCATACCCATCTCAGGTGCGTTGGCGGCTGAGCTCCCGCCGTAGTCGATGGCCGAAGGTGTGCGCACAGAGACGAAAAGAATCGAGGAATCGGTCCATGCACATGTGGATGCAGTTTTCCTCCGGTCCGCTCAAGTGATCGCGTGGCTTCGTGACGCACTTTTCGAAGCATTTGCAGGTAACCGTGGCTAGTAGCTCCTGAACATTGGCCAACGCAATCTGTTGCTTCATCTGTCGTATCAGCTCTTTCGAGTCCACATCGGATACCCGATCCATGCCCCTCTCTCGCTCACTTTTCCTCTCTTTCTCTCTGTCCTTCGTATCGCACTCTCTCCCTCTTGCCCTCACTGTCTGTAACTTTGCAGACCTTACTTAACTGGAATTTATTTTTGTGGCTCACGGCTTGAACCAGTATCGAAAATGTTTCAAATTATATTTGAATAATCAGTTAGTCCAAAGGCAACTTTGTAATACGGATCTAACCCCAAACTGCTTGCTCCCAAGATCAGAATGATGCAGCTACTGCTACAACTGCCGTTGCTGCTGCTGCTGCCGTTGCCATGTCATGAGTGGCTCATCACGACTGGTCTTGTGCTTGCTGCTGCGCAAGGCTCTCCTTCAGTTCCGCCTGCAGCCGGTTGCCAAAGGCCCGCGCGACTAGGGTATAGGAGTCCATGTACCGATCCATGCACATGGAGATACACAGACGCTGGCGGCTGTCCAGGGAGTCCTCTGGCTTTGGCACACACTTATGAAAGCATTGGATCGACAGCCTGCTTAGCATCTTCTGCATTGTATCCAGCGTGGATGCTTTTTTGATTTTGCTCTTCAGCTCGTCTTCATTGTACTTGGCTCGATTCAGACGCTTCGGTAGATATCCTAATAGATTAACCATGCCCTCGCTGTCTATAGCTAAAAATAAAAATAAGTTTGGCTTTTTTACTACAAATTTGGGAAATATATCAACGCTAACTTCTCACTTATCAAATGACAATGGGAACTGGACTACCTGCCAAGCAGCCAAATGTGTCAGACAAAATACTCAAAACACATTTATTTATCCCCAGCATTTGGAAGTAGAGCAGAAGGGAACAGAAGGCGGTGCTCTAGCCCAACGATATGCCAAGGACTGGATGTGAGTAACTAAAATATGTTAAATCCTGAAAATAGCTGGCATCGCCTATTCAATTTAACTGTAAAGAACTGTCACGTGAGTCTGTAGATTAAGTACATTATCTACAGTCCATAAATTCACATTTGCATTCGGGTTTGTTGAGAGAGTTAGTTTTTCTCAATGCGAAGACCAGTAATTGAGAACTAATATCAAATAATTGAAATTTATAATATCCTAGATTTGTTTTCCCTGTCCATTTCCCAAACTGGTTTCAGGAATATACATAAGTAGTTGTATCATTTACATTTACATGAACTTACTGTAGATATGATTTTTACTTTCAGTATATTGTATCTTAAACTCAACAATTGAGTCTCTATCGTAGACTCAACTATAATTCCCTATATATGTTCATATATGTATAAATATCTTAAATATATCTTTATCTTTAGAGACTACCCAAGTTAAGCTCGACGAAGCATGGTAATTATTATATAGTATTAAATATTCTAGATGCAGATGGACAGAGAGCTCAGGCTCCAGACTTCTGGACTTTGGACTTTGGACTTCAAGCATTGGCCCAGCCAACAGGCCTATTTTAGGGCTTCACTGAAATATGTTTTAAAGCGTGCTCCTCCAGGAATTTCAGCTGCCTACTGTCACGTTTTACATTGATATTTTAAAATAAAAGAACAACATGTAAGCAGCCTACGAGGAATAACGAACAACGAGCAACGAACAACTAACAATCGCCAAGAACTAACAACAAATGGCTGAACAAATTTCTGCGCATTTCCCATTTGCGAGCGCCGTTCGCTTCGTACGTGCCGGCGAGGCGAGGAGTGTGGGCGGTGTGGGGGCAGAGCGGGATAGTGGGTCGGTGGAGCAGTGGAGCAGTTGAGGGCCGCCCAACACAGTGACAAGCGGATGCAGACGGCCTCGTAGCAATGGAAATGACATCGGCAACGCAAAAGCCGGCGACACGGCACGGAAATTACAATTGAGTGTAAATTGTTGGATTCGGAATCTGGCGGCTAAATCGGGAGCCATAATATCGGAGCACGTGTACAGCTTTTTAGCCCGGCTGGGTCAGCTGATAGGCGCTTTGTTTAGCTCAACCAATACTTGGGCAGTGACTAAATATTTCATAAGCTGAAGCTCGTAACTCGAGCGGTGAAGAAATAAATCTGGCCGACGCTTTCGTGCTTGGGAAAGTCAAGGCCTGTGCAAGGGACCGAAAGAGCTGGCAGCTTTAAGAGAGAGTAAATGCCCGCCCACCTTTTGTGAATGGTAAACAAGTGGAAAGCAAAAAGCATCATAAGGGTAGGCGGCGCTCCACTTGCTTCATTTGCTCCACTTGCTCCACTTACTCCACTTGCTACGCCCACGCATTCCGCATTGGCTTTGTTTGCTCGCGACTTTAGTGAATCTGACGCGAAGCAACGTGTCGATTGTCACGTTCACGCACGACTTTTATCGCGCGCAAATCGCTCGAAAGCCAACTTGAACTCAACGTGGTCGAAAAGCCGCGATTAATACTTTGCTCATGCTTAAAGAGCATATACTCTCAGCAAAGCTGGCATCATCAATTTTAGAACTGCTAAGTATTAGCTAATCATTTTAAGGAAAGTTTTGAGGACCACAAAAAGTCAGAGACTACACGTTTAGTAATTGACTTTACTGCGATGAATTTCAGATTATGAATGAAACAAAAAAAGGTGTGATTCTTTTGGAAGAAAAAGGCACTGTAGATGTCTTTGTCAAGTAACCTGGAACGTATTATACGCAAGCCAACAGGGTATATGCTGGTCGAGCACACTGTCCAACACATCTCTGAGAAAATCTTTTACTTAATCTAAATTGCTCACAAATGTGCTAACAATTGGCAAACCAGCTATTAAAAATGTATGCGCTCATAAGTCAAGCATATTCGAGAGCTTTTGCGTTGGCTTTCCGATTAAATATGAATTGCATATCAGAGTGAACAAGCACTTTATCCCAGGTGGCTTTGAATGTATTAATTGCAATCGCAGACAGTCTCAAATTAAATGAAAGTACAACAATGTCAATGCCAGGGCATACGTTTACTTAAATAGAAATGTTTGAGTTGGGAAAACTGACAGTAAAAATAATTAAGAAAATTTCTAGTGCTCTGGCAATTACATTCGAGCTCAAAGCCAATGTTGCTTATCCTTTTCGTTATATCAATAATTTTATAAAATTCAAAACAAAACAAGTAAGAAAGCTCTAGTCGAGACTGCTCGACTACGAGATCCCCTGAAC